TCCTCCTCCTCCTCTTCTTCTTCTTCTTCTTCTCTCTCTCTCTCTCTCTCTCTCTCTCTCTCTCTCTCTCTCGAACTATTTCTCTATATTTCTCTCTCTCTCTCATTCTCTCTCTCTCTCTCTCTCTCTCTCTCTCTCTCTCTCTCTCTCTCTCTCTCTCTGTGTGTGTTGGGGGGTTGCCAAGGTGCACAGGCCACAGCAGGCATGTGGAGGTCAGAAGACAATTTTGTGGCACTGAGTCTCTCCTTCCACCTTGACACAGGTTCTGGGGATTGAACTCAGTTTGCCTGGCTTGCAAGGCCTTTATGCTTTCAGCCACGTGTCCAGCCCTGGCAGGGGTGTTTTGTAGGGTATGCATTTGACAGAAGAAACCAACCCCAACTTGCAGTAGCTTAAGCAGAATAGAATTTCTTTCTCTCTGACCTCTTGTCGGAGCCCCAGCAGTCCAGGTCTGGTATGTCTGGCTGGAAGAGAAGCAGATGGGAGCGAGTTGCTGTTGTCCTCTGAAGGGGAGATACAGCAACAGGACCAAGGAGAGGTGCCTGGTGGCTCCAGCTTGTCCTTCTGTCGCACAAGGTCTGCCGCATGAGGAGCTCCTCTTCCACACTCTGGCTCTGCAGGCCACAGAGGTCCCAACCAAGCCCACCCTCACACAGATTGCAGCCTTCCTCACTGGTTCCCTTTGCTGAGGCTGGCTGTGCTCAGCTGCTCAGGGCTCCAGATGTCTCTCATGACAGCGCCTCAGGAGAACGGTAACCAGCTCCCTCTTCACTTCCCCAGCTCCCGAGTCATTGTGTGGGGCCTAATTCCTACATCACCCTAAACCCATCCATGCAGATCAAGTGCATCTCATTTCCCTCACTGGTCCTTGGCGTTGTTTGTTTTCAAGACAAATCTACTCAGTTTTCCATCTGATTTCTTGTTTCTTGAAATTCTCTCTTATGGGCTCCTTTGTTCTCCCTGTCTGTGGATTTCACTGTAACGATAATGAGGCTTCGATGTGGAGAAAACCCCACTTGTTCAGTCCACCATCTTAACTCAATGGTCTCTATACTGTCCTCCTTCATGTGGAATGAGTGTACTGTTCCCTACATGTCCTTGGCCTCCTGCCTCTGAGCCCGAGCTCACAGCCCACCTCCCTCCATCGCACCCTCATTCCCCATTCCACTGGTCACTAGGATGACCTCTGCCCATCATTAGAGACTCTGCTCTGGCAAGGATTGGGCCCTGTGGGTAGTGAGGTGCATTCCTGTGGATTCCAAGGCATCTCGCCACCTCCCCCACCAGTGCCCTGACTTCTGGATCCCAAACTGTCTTGGTAACCTTGGTGACACAGGCTGTGCCTGACACATGGAAGACACCAATAAATGCTTGCTCAATGAGTAAACAAATAGACAGCCATTCTGTTGACTCCTTGGAATTGTTTGCATGGTGACCTTGAAGGAAGATGATTTGTTTACCGAAAAAGGAAGAGAAAGCTGGGCCTGGTGATGGACACATTCTTGTAATCTCAGTACTTGGGAGGCAGAGGCAGGAGGATCAGGACCTCAGGGTCATCCTTGGTTACATAGAAAGTTGGAAGCCGGGCGGTGGTGGCGCACGCCTTTAATCCCAGCACTCGGGAGGCAGAGGCAGGCGGATCTCTGTGAGTTCAAGGCCAGCCTGGGCTACCAAGTGAGTTCCAGGAAAGGCGCAAAGCTACACAGAGAAACCCTGTCTCGAAAAACCAAAAAAAGAAAAAAAGAAAAGAAAGTTGGAGAGCAGCCTAAAAAGTAAGTGAAAGAGGGAGAGCAAGCGCATGGGAGGCAAGACTGAGCGCACAGGTACAATTTCCAGGAGCCCAATAAAACCTGTATATCACCATGCTTAGAAAACGATTTTCAGGGGCTGGAGAGATGGCTCAGAGGTTGAGAGCCCTGTCTGCTCTTCCAGAGGACCAGGGCTCAATTCCCAGCACCTACATGGCAGCTCCTATCTGTCTTAACTCCAGTTCCAAGGCTTTTGACACCCTCACACAGACATATTTGCAGGCAAACACCAATGAACACAAAATACAAACAAATTATTAAAAATGATTTTTGGAGCTTTAATAACAGTATTCTAAGTTCTGCTTTAAAATGAGACCTGATGAGTGTACACACACACACACTCACACACACACACACACACACACACACACACACACACACACACACACATACGCATGCACACACATCAGAGCACTGAGCAGCCAAACTTATTATGACCTTAGAGGTCAAGGTTGTGGCCATGCAAGAGGGGACAGAGGCAGCTTCTAGGCTTCTGTTAGTGTTTTCATTGTGGTCCGGTGCTCTACTTCCATAGATGGGACAAATGGAGAATTTATCAAGTTGTGTGTTTATAGTCTTCACATCTTTTTAAAAATCTCAAAATATATAATAAAATTTAGTCTTGTAACATTTGTTTATTTAAATATTGGTCATGTGTGTGGGCTCACTCATGCCATGGTAAACATGTCCTTTACCTGCTGGGCGATCTCACCAGCCCTCCAAATATAATATATGAAACTTCATAACACTAAATAAAAAAACTCCCAACTCTAAACTTCCTTCTCCAGATTCTCTTTAGTCTTCAAAGAATTCAAACTCACAAACAGATGGGAGTTTTTCTATGTCCCTTTGAGCTCAGATCAGTTAAATACATGTTGAATGCAGCTATTTGAAAAGGTTGAATCATTTAAAAACTCTCCCATACAATAGGAATTCAAGTGCTTATTATGTAAACGCGAGGGCTGTTGAACGTCCTGTTTTCCAGCAGGTTTCAAACACGCCTTTCATGGCGCTAATGACAGGAGTGTGAGCTGTTGCTCATGGAGACAGAATACATCTCTTAGACAGATCTTGGGTACAGATGTCTGGAGCCTGGCCCAGAATTTGAAATTACAACTATTGAGTTTTATACACATATAATAGCTCCAGTGAGTGCTTGGTGGATGCAAAAATCTCTTGATTGTCTCTCCACTTTGCGTCATTAGGTTAGGTCACTCGATGCTGTGGCAGCTGGGAGCAGGCTGGGTACCCAGAGCACATCGACATACTGACCCGTGACAATCCCCAGACCACAAACCACCCTTGGGAAACACTGCCTGGCAATGCTCAAGACCCTCAAATTATTGACCCGAGCAGATGTAAAGATGGTTTTGTGGCATTTTCCCAGCAACTGGAATACAATAATTGGTTTGTATTCAAGAATGCTTGTTTGTCTTGGTCAGATAGGTGGATAAAAGCCAGACCACAAAGAAGTTTACAGTCACGGGGTAGTTCAGAGCTTTAATTTAGTTCATAATTGAGAGGCTGATGTGTGCTGGGAAAGGTGGACAGAATGCTGGTTCTAAGGCTGAAAGGTAGCTCGGTTGGCAGAGCACTTGCCCTGCAAGCAGGAAGTCCTGAGGTTTGATCCCCACCACACTCTTGTAATCTCAGCACTTGGGAGATGGAGGCAGGAGGATCAGGAGGTCATGGTCATCCTTGGCTACATAGGAAGTTAGAGGCAAGCCTGCACTACAAGGACTCTAACTTAAAAACAAACAAACAGCCGGGCGGTGGTGGCGCACGCCTTTAATCCCAGCACTCGGGAGGCAGAGCCAGGTGGATCTCTGTGA